TTAATGTATTAGTGGAGAGAAGAAACAACAGTTTCTTACTGGACAGGCAATATGCAGATTTTGGAAATATATTTTTCAAATGTGCTGAAGTTTTCAAAGGTCTTACAATCACCATACGAACTTTACCAGGACCAGTTGTTACATCTTTTATTCAGGTCATTTCCAGGAAGGTAAATTATATTTCTTCAACAATGCAAGAGAAACATTATCTTTAGGAAATTGCCATTTAACTCATTGTTGTTGGTAATTGCATTGCCATCTTTTCAATGGTTGTTGGAAATTTTTTTTCTTCTCTACCTGTGTGTTAACCTATTATCTGCCTTGTTTTTAAAAGTTCTGGTTCTGGAATTGATAAATTTTATTAGTTTGTGGTCAGCTGGCAAAAAACTTTAGTGTATTTATGACTGTAATTCAGATTTGACTGACTTGAACATCTTCCAACATAGATGGCACTGTTTTACCTTAAGAAAAAAATCTTAACTTAGTTTTTGATGCAACAGGTTTTCCTGTTTGAAGGGAGACAATTTCCAAAGAGCATTTACCTGGGTTCTGATAATTAGAGCATCTTGAGCATTGTTTCATTCTTCGGATCTTAGTGGTCCTTTGTGATGATTAACTAGGTTTCTTGTATTGTGTATGAATCTGAAAACAAAACTTGGAACTTTTATGATAACCTTTAGTAAAGTTCATGAGATTTTCTAAAACATCAGTATCTATAATAGTGTCCATAGCAGGTCGCAATACCTGTAGATAAAGATCGTCTGTAGATCTTGTCATGCCTAACCTGGGCTCATATGTATCATTTAAAAACTGTGGACCATGCCACCACATCCAGTTTGATGATATCTTCTAGCATCCAGTCCATATGAGATTACGTTTGCTGGATTGCTCTTCTAGGTACATGACTCCATTTAAAGTTCTCAATGAGATGTTGAATGCTGGAAACCCTGTTGCTTACACCTGCTGCAAATCGATGAAGAGATATATTAATCCACCCAAGAATGATAGTGGAGGCTGACTATAGATACATTTGATCAAATCATAATTTTATGGATGACAGAATCCTGCTAACAATTTTGGATAGAAATAAGCAGGTTGACAAGTCTGGAGATCATCATTGTCTTGATTGGAGCAGCTCACCACTTACCATAAAAAAGATGGCTGGATGCAGGCTTTTCTTTTGAAATAGCTTGAAGGTAAACCTCTGTTGTGTAGCTATCCTCTGAACCATTAGCAAATCTGTGAATAAAAAAATTTTTTATATCCCTGCTTAACACACATCTTGGAATTTGCAGATCTTTGATTGTGGGAAGCACTGAGACAAAGTTGTGCCATTCAAGTGATATCGGTTCGGGAAGAGGTTCATGCCAATCAATTTTAAGTAACTTTGACCTTTGCATAAATATTTTAGCTCTGGTAATGACTTGTCCAACCAATCCCAGGGACTTGTAAATGCAAGCTCTATCCAATAACACTGCTCATTTGGTGTATGTGCTTCCAGGTTCAGTGGACACTTTGAAGGATAAAGAATCACTGTATATCACTGTGTGTGTTCCACTGCATTCCTAAAGCTTTGATAATCTTTTCTTCCATGAATAATGGAAAGGCAAATTTCCAAACAGATTGATTACCATGCCATTTGTATAGTTTCATTCCACCATGTTCAAGTAAATGAGTCAACTCTGTCTGAAGACTCTTAGCTTAAGTCTGAAGTGCCACTCAGGACATAGTTCTTGTAGAAACCATTTAAAACTACAGATCAGACTGGAAAGAAGTCCTTTATGTTATCTCAAGCTATTTGATGAAGTGTCCACTGTGCTAAGAATGGAGCACATACTGTTCCATGTATAACGGTTAGAAGAGTGTAAGCCTTTACTGGAGGATCAATACCTTTCTTCTAGAGAATTCTTTGAATGTCAACTTCGTACTTCTCAGTTTGAGTTTGTCGAAATTTTTTTTATTCCCTCACTAAAGGCATACAGATGTTTTCTAAACCTTAATGTGATTGAATAAAGATCTTCTTGTATGACATCTCCCTTCAGAAGAATATCACTTAAGAAACTGCTGGTAGATTTTGCACTAGCATTGAAAACCACACACAGTTAAGTAGTGTTCTTGTCAGTTCTGTAGAGCCTGTCATGAGGTAGCTAGTGAACTACCCCTGAACTAGCTTCCCTTTCAGTCTCAGCCACATGACGCAAACTTTCATTTTCTTGTATGAACTCAGTGTAATGCTTTCTTCTTTGTATTGGTTTCCAGATGTGTGCAAAGTTGATTTAAGCATTTTGATGCAAGCTATATAGAAATATCTAAAGTTATGTTTTGTTGCGGCATCAGGTTTATTTGGTATTTGTATGATGAAGCGACACTAGATTTTCGATGGTGAGTTTGAGTAAAATGTTCTTCACAGTATCTTAACTCTTCACTTGTGGGTAGATTGTAACTTTCTGCATTTTTTGTCTCCCAAGAGAACTTAAATGTTTGGTTAAATGTATATATATTCGTAGATGAGTAACAATGATCAATAAATGAATTATTTTCTACCGAATTAAATGTTTCAGTTGAGCCCAATGCCACATAAGCTTTCTTGAAACAACAATTGGTTGTGTTCTGTGTGAACCCTTCTGCTTCAAAGAAACTCAGAAAACAACTTGGTTCCAAGTAAAAAATCAATTTTTGGTTTTGAAAGTTCAAGGCCTGCTAAAACAATGTTAGGAATTTTTATTATCGGAATATTCATTAATTTGGATGGATCGGTATCAGTTATTTTTGTTATGAGCAAAAAATCTAAATTCCATTTATAATTGCCCTTTAAATCTGATAATTTACATTTTATTATTTAGAATAGAACTATTAATTCCTGAAATAGGAGCAAAAATCATTTGCTTCTTTAATTCCTATAAATAGCATATTTAGCAGGTATAAAAGTGACAATGAGAGTCTGAGTCAAGCATTGCAACCACATGATGTTTATGTTGAAATATGAATGATAGCAAACAAAATTGTTTTCTTTCTTTTTAACAGCTATTATTAATGATTGAGCAAGAGGTAATACTTTGGCATCTGCCTGCACCTTTTCGGTTTCCAGTTCATTCAAATCGGATGGGGATTCTTTACTCAATTCTTTGTACAATAAAGTAGTAAAAATATGATTGTTAAGTTTACAAATCGAACTAATGATGATTCAGGTACTTCAGACTAGTGATCTTACATTCAGATACTTCATGAAATGGGAGTAAGCAATTTAAGCAAAGTCTGTGTTTCTTGACTTCAGATCTCTTGGTATGATTTATATCCTTGAATGCCAAGCATTTGTATATGGAGTGCACTTTCTTGCACACAACACAAAATGGTTTTGAAAGGTTATTCAAACTAATAGATGACTTTTTGACTGACGAGATGAATTTGCTGAGGTTGCAAATTTGTTTACACCCTTAAACAGCATATTTCATGATAAGACTAACTTTCTAACTTCTGACTTTGTTTTTCAATAAACTGCAAAAATGGAAAATTATTTGATGTGAAAGTCATTTCAAATTGTTTTCTGGACTCTTGATCAAATTTCTGAATGGAGCATTTATTAACAGTATATCTGAAAGTTCATCTCTATCAATATTTAATAATTTTAATTCCTGTGTATTCTTTTTTACATGATCTAGAATTTTTCAAAGATCTTTAGCTGACTCTTGCCTAAGTTTGGAATAGTTTATAATGTTCTGAACATGTGTATCTGCTATTATTCTTCTATTTTCGTAACGATCTTCTAATGCTTTAAATAATGACTCGTATGTATCTTCTGAATTAACTTTGCTTGGTCTCAAAGCGCAGCATGTAAATAGAAACATTTTTGAGAATTTGTTAAGTGAGGATTTTTAGATATTAGATTATTAAATGCAGTTTTCAAATTACTCCATTCCTTGCATAAACCAGAGAATTCTGGTAGGATATTTAAGGAAGAGGATATTAGGAATTATTATGGTCCAAGAATCATCAACTTTTAGTTCATTTTTTGAAGTTTTCTTTGAATACTGAGTAATGAGGTTTAACAGATATACTTCTTTTGTCTCACAGCATACTTCCAATTCGTCTAAACAAACACCAGTTTCTTCTAACTTCTTATTTTTAGCTTTTTTCATAATATGCATTATGCAGTTCATTCAAATCTTGAAGCAGAGTTTTTAAGGAATATAATTTCTGCTGCAGTTCTATTATTGATGCAATTTCTTCAGCAGTATTTTGCAGTATCAGCAGTAGTTGTAAAACTTTAACGAATTTTTGATTAACAAGATCGAGGATTTCAAAGCGAGCAATGACAGCATTGTACAGAAAAAAACATTTTAAACTCCAGTGGGTGAGACTGTGTATCAGAAATTCTAAAGATATGCTCAATTTAAAATTATTTTGCGATATTGCTCTTGAACTGTATTTTATGGTTTAAGTGCAAAGAACATGATATTTAATAAATAAAGGTATCACACAAAATGTAAAAAAAAAACACCCCATTGAATGTAATTTAAAATCTGAAACCTTTTTTTTTTTTTTTTTTTTTTAAATTTTAATTTATATATATATATATATATATATATATATATATATATATATATAAATGTGTCTGTTGGACACTGATAAAATTATTTTTGCTATACATTTGGGTTGAAATATTCAAAATTTATTTAGGTTAAGATTCAAAAGATCTGAGTAATGGAAAAAGGTAATTTTTAAAAATTTTGAAACTTTTTCATGATTTATGAGATTTAAGGATTCAGAATCTCATCCCCAATTATAATGTAATTATGTTTTTATCTTAAAACATTGAAAAAGGAAATTTTTTCAGCTCATTGGCAAAAAGTTATCTCCATAATATATTATATAAATGTTTGTTTATTGTTTGCTTCTAATACTTATGTAAAACTATGAAATAAAAGGATCTACATGTTTGAAAACTTATAGCATTTTATTTTAACCAAAATGTATGCTGGAGATTTTCTTTTTTTTCACAGAAACGTGAAAATAACAAAGAAACTTCTGATGGATAACACTCCTCGTGTAAAATCATATTCTGCAGATATCCAAGATAAAGTTGCAAAGATATACTACAGTCATGGACTTTTTTGCTCTAGTCATCCATATTCAGTTATCTCAGTGACATTAATCATCTTTATTTTATGTTGGTAAGAATAATTCTCTTTAAGTGTTTTATTTCAGCTTTTCATTAATTAGTGATGTTTTGAGATGATTTTGATCGGAAACAGAACTTTTGTTGTCAACTAGAAAGAATGTTCTCTTAATTTTAAATATTTAGTTTCTAAATTTTAAAATATTTTATATTGGTTTAATCAATGTCAAATTTTAAAAGCTATCATTTTATGATAAAGGGTGTGTATTTGTACCAAATCTGTTGATTCATTAGCAATTGAAGACGCAGGGTGGAAAACCGTTTATATCCATTGATAGGAATTGCAAGAAAAATTAATTTTTAGTGTGTGTGACTTTAGTGATGAAGAAAATATTGTTATAAAATCATACAAAAATTTCATAATGTACTTTCAACCTTTATTTAACAAAATTTATATTATAAACAAAAATGTACCTTATACAAAATAGGAGAGAAACATATTTTCAGTTGTTTTTCAAGGTGACTAAAGTTCGTTTTTTAGTTTTTCTGTTAATCTTGGGAACACAAATTTCTTTTGCTGTCATAATTGGCTCTTCTTCAAATGAAATTATTTTATCATGATTTTATTTTTCAGATCTTGAAATGGTTTTGCTTTTTCATGTCCTTTGGGTTTTTTCAATTTTTGGCGAGCATATTAATCATTGCTTATAATTTATCACAAAGAAAAGCTGCTTTCTTGTGTAAGACTCAGGTGTTAGAAACACTTGTTATCAGGTGCCCGGGTAAAAACCACATTCTGTATGGAATGCGTATGAAAATGGCATATTTTTTCTATCATAATGTGGTAAAGTCCATAAGTGAAATAAAATCTCGTGCAAGTGCGATGATTGAGTCTCGATATATAACGCTAGTTTCTTCTCCTAAGTATGTCTGTGGTATAAATGCAATATAGCTACTGTTTCCCTAATGAGCAATAAAGGCATATCTTTGCTGTGTGCCAATGTCAAGACGGCGAGAGCTTGAATAAATTGAAAGGCATTGACACTGGAGGTACCTGGGTGCAGGGGGTGGACCTACTGTTCAGCTTGTCCAATGGTGAACCTGTAAAAGAAGTGCATCTTCTTGAAAATCAGGTATCGGGGCAGGGTTACATTGAAATAATCATTAGGACATAAGAATTAATTATAGTCTATTTTGAAGTAAACAGATCATGGAATGAAATAATAAGTGGTCTAAACGTCTATTGAGTTAGGATATAACATAAATAAGTAGCAAGATATTTGAAATTTGCTAAATATTGGTAAAACACAAATTCTAACTGAAAGTAAGTTACAGAAGTTACTACTAGATGGTGACACATTTGCTTCATAGTCAAGTAATAGTTACAATTAAAAGCCACAGATGGCAATTCACATGCAATGTTGAGAGATGAATTAATTGCTGTTTTCGATCCTAGATGGCTGCACATATGTCGTGAGTTAAAACTATTATTAAAATGATAAAAGTAAATCAATTTACGTTGGCAAAAGAGATTCTAGGGTAGAATTACATGGAGAACACACAATTTACAATTTAAGTATTTAAATGCAAAAGGACTGCTTTCAGTCGTTTTCTGTTTTCTCTGTCGGGGAAGTTATAATCCAACTGAGGGATGGTGCTGTTATTCTTTTTGTGAATGTTTCTAAAGAATTTTTTTGTGGTTTTTGCAAAACATACATTGATTTTTTTCAACGAGTTCACAATGCATTGTGCATTCCTAATAAACCAGGGCGAGTTAGCATTTGCCTTAAAGTCATATTTTGAACTTGTTGTATTTTCTTCATAGTAATGTCACACAAAAATACCCCAAACCGAACAGGCGTAAGTAATGATGAGACGCAACATGGATCGGAATACAAGAACTTTATTATCAATAGATAAACTCAAGTTTTGGGCAATTTAGGGGTTGAGTAAAGCTTTAGCACCCCAAAACTTATTTAAAGTATATGTTACATGTGGGGGGCCCAAGTGAGTCTTTGGTCTAAAATAACACCAAGGTATTTAATTTGCTTGGCCCAGAGAATGCTGATACCATACATTTTGAAAGTGATCTCCAGGTTGATGTTAGTCTTATAGGTAAAGTAAACAGCTTCAGATTTCTCCACATTTGTCTTTATTTTCCATTTTATCATCCAGGACTCTAGTTCTTGTGTAAGTGAATTTAACAAGTGTTCTTTCTTGGGTAACTGAATTTGAGGTTAAACTTAGAATTAAAATGATCTCTGAATTTATTAAATGGTACTGGATGGTTTGGATTATTTGTTTTGCTCATTTTGTATAATTTTGTGATATTTAACTCTTCCAGTAGCTATGTTTTTTTAACTCATTTTTTAAGTAATAATGTCCTTGAGGGAGTTGATGAACTCAATTTAGAAATTGTTTCCTGAGAAATTATATGTTTTTGGTTTGTATGTTTTTCTTTATAGTTTACTGGTGATTTTTCGTAGCAGCCAAAGCTTCTCTTATTTTTTTAACCTGATATTTTGTAAATGCCATGAAGCAAAGTTGTTTATACAAAGTTGTCTATCTTTACATTGCTTGTCTTGGAAACAGTATGTTTGATGACAGTAAAACTCACTGTGCGAAGATCCTTCATTTCCTAAACAAGAACTTTTTTGCATCACAGGCAAAAGTGTTTAAGACTGGTGAGATAATGATTTTGAGTATTATAATTCCCATGTTCATTAAAAGCATTCATTGTTTTTCTTTATCACAATTCAAAGAAAAACATTGAGAAACTTTGCACATACAGTCAAATTCTAACGGGTATGGTTGCTCTTAAAATTTTCATTGCATCCTTAATTCTTGTTTTCTTCCTCTTCCTTAGTAGAAAATTTGGCTACTAGATTGGAGACTGCACTGGAATTTCCTCTTTTCATGTTCACAAGAACTAATAGATAAGTACTTTTTTGTGGTGCCCCCTTTCGTTGATCTGCTAAGCATGTGCTTGCATTGCTTACTGGTTAATCCAGCCCTGCATATATATACTGCATATAATATACTGTGTATAATATACTGCATGTTTATGCTGTCTGAAAAGTCAGATTTCCATATGCATTTGCAAATTTGTCTGTTTCTTGAATACAAAAAGGTGCTAAACATCTTAAGTTCATTTATGAGTTATTGGAATCTGGGGGGAAAAAATGCAGTGAGTGGTTTCGCTGATTGGTTGGTTGATTGGTTAATAGGTCAGACAAAATTTGTTAAAACTGCCTGCTAAGGAAGGAATGCCTTATTCACTGGGATTTGAACCTGGATCTAGCTACAATTACATAATGCTTCTAACCATTTTGCCACTGATAGGTCATATTTTTGTACCATGTAAATGAGATTTTATGATAAAGGATGAAAAAATGTGTATCATTTTAAATGAAATTGGCAGTCATTTAGCATCTGAGAATTTGGCACATTCAGTTAAACAGAAGATTCAACAGAATGTGATTCAGGGTGATGTTATTTGCTCTACATTTTCCTAAGCTGATATGCTCTCTTTTTTTATATGTCATAGAATGTAAATAATCAGCAGATGTGTATATGCTAGTTTTGAAAGTTGCATACAGAATGAAGCAAACTGAAATGGCCGAGTCATGCATTAGATTTTTTCAACTGTCTTCCATAGAGAGGACTCTGTGCATTATGTTTAAGAATGGCAAAATAGTTTTGCAAGTAGACTTTTTATGTGGAGACTCCTTAATCTATATGGAACCTGTCAAACTCTTAAAAATTTGCATTGGGTTCCATTTTGAATCGTAGTGTAAAAAATATTGGCATTAACAACTGGAGCATAGTTTTGATTCAAGATATAACCTGCCTGTTAGACCCTAAGGTGACTGTCAAAAGACCCTAAGATGACTGTCAAAAATCAGATTTTCATTACTTTCATCTAAGAGCTATTCAGTCACCATTTTACAGTTCTGATTGTGCACCAGATGACTTTCACCTGTTCAAGCATCTGATCCAGTTTAATGAATAGTAATGGGATTAAAGAAACTGTGAATATAGGGTTTGCATCACAAAGAAGGATAGGATTGTAAATAGTCTTGAGTGTTAAATAAAAGTAAATTTTTAGTGGGTAGTTTTTAGTTTTCATTTCATAAATAATGATGTAATTGTTTAAATGATTCTGAAGTATTGTAACTATGTTTAAAAACAGATGCAAAAGTGGTATTTCTAACACTGCAACGTAAGTGTCTTGTTTCTATTCAATATTTTTATGTCTAGATTAATCATATTTAGCTTCAATAATAAAATATTTATCCAAACATCTATTATTATTTATGCTTTAATTGTGATTGGATAGGAGGATTGGGAATATTCCAGAAAATGCAGTTAAAAGCACTGTATTCCTTTTTTCCCTTTTAACAATGTCTCTAGAAGATTTGAATCAGCATATTTTTAAGTGCCTTATTCCACAAATGGACTCACAAATGTCATTTGAGGTTTGAACCTGAGCCCATAGTATCCAGTCTATGCTAATTACCATGTTGACTGGGACAATGTCTATTTGATGACATGAGTTAACTGTGGTACACTTATTATGAATCTCAGATAGTTTACAATTATTAACAGGAAAAAAGTTTGGATGCTTGTCAATGAAAGAAATGACTGAAAGAAACATTCTAGGTGTTTATATGGTGGAGGAGAGGTCCACTATACAATATCCTTAGAGAGTTTATTTCCATTGATATATTTTTACCATCCTTGTGGTATTTTAAGCTGAGTATGTTTTTGGAAGCAGTGATATTATTAAAGGATGTGATCCCATTTCTTCCTTACATCATATTGTATCCTTCTTCCCCCGAAAAAAAAAATCAAAATTGTGGCTACATCTAGTCCTAAACAATATGTATATTGATAACGTAAATTTTTTAAAAGTAATTAATTTCTAGCAACTGATTCTGTATTCTATATGTACATATATTTTAAGTCTAGGCACATTTATTTCTTTTCAGTTACCCATTAATACACCTGCCACTATTAGGTAGTTCTTCACAGCAGTTTTCAACACCTGTGCAAGGATTTGTAGCACCTGATATTGTTTTAGACAATAGTGACAGTTATAAATTTTCAGGACCACGCTGGGTAAGTGCTAGCTATTACAATTTGATATTTTGTATCCAAGATATATGCTATTATGCATAATTATTTTTTAACATTACTGAATTTCCTTCTAGTTTCAAGGCCCACCAGTTAGTTATGTACAACAAATTATTGTGAAAAGTGCTGTTTTCCCGTGGAAGTCAGATTTGATATTAACAGATGCATTTCGTGCACCTTTGACCTATGCGTTTGAAATCAGTGAACTTCTTGGGAATCATCAAATATCACCAGGGTTTGTTCTTTTTTTAAACTTAATTATAAAAAATACTTTGCATTCATTTTACTTTTCTTTATCAGTAATCTAATGGAAACGTTTCTGAAAGTATTGTGAAAGAGAATCATGCTAGTTTGTTATCTGTTCATACATTTTTCATGTTATTTTGGTTTGTTCTTTGCAGTCCTAATTTTCACATGAACTAAGTTGTTTGAAAATTATTAATAGTTTCAAATGAATGATTTTTTTCTTCCTTTTGTTATGGAAAAAGTAATTCCTTAATGTTTCGTTATCAATCTTAAGACAGTTCTTTCACTAAAATATATCGAAATGCTCTTCATGTCATCACATTTCCCCCCTTCATTAGAAGGGGATAACAATGCTAATAAGTTACAAATTTGACTATATTCTTCAATCCAAATTATATCCTCTCATATATTAATAAAATTTGTTGCTCAGCCCATATAGACACTATTTTAGATTATAGTTCTTAGTACAATTTAATGTGTCACTGTCAAGCTAAAAAAGTGTTAAAAGTTACAAAAGTTAAGAAATTGTTAAAGATTACGTTTCTTATATTTTAAGGGAGGGGAAGAAGAAAACACTATCATCCATTACTAATAGTTGGTCTCTTAACCTAGTATGTTAAATTTAGTTCTACTAAAGTCATAAAAAGCTTTTTCTTCTGAATTAGATTTTCATAGCTTTCCTTATTTGTGAATATCAGTCAGCTTAAATTTGTGATTTAATTCTATTTTTTCCTTGTGTACATTTTTAAAATCTTGCAATTTTTAATGCTTTTATTTCTATTTTATTCAATAGGTAGCAATATAATAATTGTTTTCTCCTTTACTCATTTATTTTTGTGGCTACTTATGTGACATACTTCAGGCAAAACGATGCAAAATATTTTTACTTCATAAGTAAAAAGATGTCTTTTAGCTAACTATCTCAGATGTTGTAGCATTTTCACATGAAACATTAATAATTGGGTGAATTTTACCTAAATTTAAATGAAATTTCTAAAACTTTAAATTTCAATAAATAAATGTGAGTTACTAGAATTAATTTTATTTTTTAATTTAAAGTTATATTTCTTTTTGGTTATGAAATTGCTCTAATGTGATTAACTGTCATGTTTAAACTATCATGTTTAAGTGTACTTAGCTATGATTATTAAACATTATTTTGTAGAAAAAACTGAAGTTAGTTTAGGTATTCTAAAATCATTATGGTCTGTTGTAGCTGACTTAAAAATAATGTGTTATTAATTTTTTTAGTTATCTCATGCGGACTCATTTTAAGGCAAAGTGCTGATAAAATTTATCTAAATGTAGGAAATGTAGACATATGTCTCTTATATTAGTTGTTTTAATAAACAAATAACTGAAACTAAAAGAATCACTTTAATAACTTTTTATTGACAGCACTTAATTTAAAGGTAAGGACACAAAATAGCACTTTTAAGTTAAAAGTGTGTAGTAGGCACCAATACAGATTTGACCAAATGGTGTTCAGTCTTCTTCAGATGAATTGACATAAAGAGAATCAAGTGAAGTTTGGCTAATGTTTTCTTGATGGGAAATATCAAGTTGACACATTTATTTTTTAAAAGAAAACTATTTGGTACATGTTATTCTAAACAGTGAAGATCCCTGCTATCCATGTTTTCAGCTGACACTAATCTGTTGACAAAGAATCTCAGAATGTTTAAGTTCTGCTGCAAGAAAAATCAGGAACTCTTTTTATTTCAGTTACTAAATGTTGATTATTCTTAACCTGTTAGTATTTATGCAGGAAATAAACTTTTTGATATGAAAAATAAGTTTTCAATTTAATGTGTGTTTTTTAATTTTAAAAATAAATTTTTATAGATTGCAGAATTTTTGGTTGTATTTTGTGATTAGTTTTATGACATTTATTTAAAATTTTTCTTAAACTGTGATTTTATGTTCTCTGTAAGACTTGAGAGACAATTTTTAATAACTAATTGTGCATAAATTTAAAATTTGCTCCCAGAAAATTATTGAACCAAAACTGTTAAATTATTCAAAACACTGTTTTGTTATAATGAATATCAAGTAAAAATTATTTTAGGAAATGCATCAACTATATTTCTTTATTTCCCCCCTTAGAGCCTTAAATAATACCAGCCTTGGTGACCTGTGTTTGCAAGTTTCAGAGCCCATTGATAAGTTGACTTCATCTGTTCTTCCTCATTATGGCTGTCTTGTTATTTCCCCAAGTCTCATTTGGAAGAATGACATTATAAGGTTAATTTTTCAAGAAAAATATTGTTCATTTATTTGTTATGCAGTTCTTTGCATAATTTATTTCTGCTATTTTATATATTATGTATTGCTAGAATGTGTTATTTAAACTCACACATATCTAAACCATTTTTTTAAATTTTATATTCATTTTTGTGTACTTTATATAACTAGAAATAATGTCGGTTGTATAAAAAAATACAATAGATTGTAGAAATTTTTTTTTTCGTAATTTCTTTAATTTTTTATGATAGTTTAAAATAAGGAAATTTTTTCAAGCTTATGGGAAGACGGGTTGTTGTTCACGGGAAAAAAGTTGAAAAAAACTTATGGGAACATTTAGAACATGATAATCTAGCATGTATTAGTCTCATTCTAAACACTGACCCTTTGTCATAAAACCTTTGCGTCATCTCCAAAAATATTATTTTAAATGAAAGGTATACAAGAGGTAAAATGAGTATAAAAATAAGGCATGTCATTTAAAAAAAAAATGTGCATTAATGGGTGGTCAGAAATGCGTATAATCTGATATACATCAAGAATAATATTCAGAATAAAGTTTCCCTTTTTTTTTTTTTTTTTTTTTGCTTGTTTAAACCTCATGAAAACACAAACTCAGATCATTAAAAATATTAAATTAGACAGCTATATTGTTCACTGTTAGATAGTTAAAACACTTTAATAAAGTTTAACAACTATTGACAATCCAGCTTTAAAAAAGCTGATGTATACATTACATGACTTCCTTGTATAGAATATTAAATTATACACATTTTTTTCTGCATTTCATTTATACTTATTTACTTGAATTTCATTAGAGATATATTTCTCATTCAATTAATTCAGTTTTCACTTCGCGGCAAGGCAAAAATACATTAACTCAAAATATTTTCATTAAAAATTGAAAGATATAGAAAAACATAAAACACCAAATACAGTTAAAACAATTTAAAAAAAATTACATTTAAAAGTGCAGTTTCTACACAGAAACAAGCATTTTGGCCAGCAGGCAGGAAGGCAGATTTTCCCGTACCCAAAACTAAAAGTTTCCTTTCGGTCCTATTTAGCAAAAAGACACTGAAGGTGCAGAAATAATTATTTCACTATTCTGCTAAGTTTCCAATGTAAAAAAATCTGATGTTTACGCCACATAACTTCCTTGTACGGAATATTAAATTATACACATTTTTTTCCTGCATTTCCTTTAAACTTATTTCCTCAAATTTCATTAGAGATATATTTCACATTCAAATAATTCACTTCGCTGCAAGGGTACAACTACATATTATAACAGTTCTATATACAAAATTTCAACGCTCTCATGCTTCTCATTTTTGAGTTATGCAAGATATATATGTATGTACAGACACCATGAAAAAATTCTCTTCTGAATCCATTTTAAATCAGTTTTATAATTCGTTTGGGAAAAAAAGAGTCCTTTATTCCATCCTTATGTCCAGATGTCATGCAAAAACATCATTTTATTGCATTCGAGAGCAGTCAAAATGGATATTTTTGTTGAAATATGGTACCTGGAATTTTTCATGATTACAATTCTTCCTGTACTTGGTACAAGGAAGTAAAAATGAGGCTGCTTCAGCTTTAAAAAAAAAAAAAAAAAAAAAAAAAAAAAAAAAGTCTTAGCTGCACTTAAACAACTTTTAAATTGTTGATAGTTCTACAAATATTGCATGCAGATTAACCAATGGCTTAACTGCTTCCCTTACAATTTTTTTGAAAAAAATTGCAAAAAATCATCACATTTTTTTATTTATTATTAAATACAACAAAACAAAACAAATCAAAAGTATGTAGGTTTGCACAATTTAATGCACAATTTACTAGCACACACATACATACATACACACACAACACACACACACACATATATATAATTTAACAAATACAATATACTATTTCATTCATATAAAGCAACAGTAAAGTTTAGTACATAGTAAAAAAAAAAAAAAAACAGCTCATTAGCCAAGTAACAGAGTGGGTATATATATATATATATATATATATAGTAGCTTCCAAAAATGTTTGTACACTTATGATTTTCATTGAAATAGGGCTCTATCCATTAATTAAAAGTAAACTTTCTGGGTGAGATTTTAATAGTAAGATCTATAATCTATTCGTAACAAAATTACATAAAATATTTTTTAAATCTAGCAAAACTTTATTTTTAAGAAATTAATAATAAAAAAATGCAAACGTTTTATCTAACAAAAGTCTTTGTACACTGAAATATTTTTGGATAAAATCAAAATTAGAATTATCATTTGCTGCTTTTTAAAATTTTTTCATTGTGGTGGCATTTAAAAAATCGTTTGCTTTAATTTTTTATTGTTTAATTAATAATATTCTATTTATTATTGAAAAATGGGTCGCAGTCGTAAAGAAATTACAAATAGCATTCGATAATTTATAATTTTTCACCATGGTAATGGTAAATCAATTCAAAATATCGCTAAAGTAGTTAATTTATCCCATTCTACAATGCAGTATGTGATGAAACACTTTAAAGAAGAAAATCGGATTGAAAATAGGGTAAGAAAAGGTCGACTGAGAAAGTTAACTAAACGTGATGAGAAATTTATTATTAGAAAATTTGTGAAAAACCCACGTTTGAGTGCTGTAAAAGTTTCTGCAGAATTTAATTCAAAGTTTTCTACTTCAATTTCAGCTGAAACTGTTCAACGAGTTCTCAGAAAAGGTGTATTACATGGGTGTTCTGCCCATAAAAAAATTTTTGTTAGTGAGGAAAACAGTGCTTAGGCTTTCATTCACAAAATCACTGATAAATACACCCGAAACGCACTGCAATAATGCCCTATTTGCTGACAAAAGCAAATTTAATATTTTTGGTTCCGATAGTCAAATAACTGTATAGAGAAGAAAAAATGAGGAACTTTATTGTAAGAACTTAGTTGGAACATTTAAGCATGGCGGTGAAGGTGTTCTTGTGTGGAGGGTACATGGCAGCATCAGGACAAGGTAATTTGGTGTTTATTGATGGCATAATGAATCATTCTCTTTATTTAAATATTTTAAGAGACAATGTAAAATTATCAGCCCAAAATTTGGGTATTGGAAACAACTTTATTTTTAATCATGATAACAATCCTAAGCATATGGCTCTCAACGGTTGTCTTGGTATCTCTGTAATTGTCCACAGGTTTTTGAAAACACCTCTTCAGTTGCCAGATTTAAGTTCCATAGAACACATTTGGAAAGAACTGGAGTTTAAAGTACGAAAACATGACACCAAAACAAACGGAAAGCAAACTCAAAACAGTCATGATGGGGGAATGGATGAACATTGATACAAAAATTAGAAAAAAACTAATAAAATCTATTCCTAGATGTTTAAAAGCTGTTGTGTATGCTAAAGGATATCCTACTAAATATTAATTTAACAAAAAATTAAAATATTTACTAATATGTCAAGATTTTTTTGAAGTATACAAAGACTTTTGTGAGATAGAATGTTCGTAATTTTTTTATTTTTAATTTCTTAAAAATAAAGTTTCGCTATATTTTAAAAATATTTCATGTAATTTTGTTACGAATAAATTATAGATCTTATTATTAAAATCTCATTCAGAACGTTTACTTTTAATTAATGGATAGAGCCCTATTTCAATGAAAATCATAAGTGTATGAACACTTTTGGGAGCCACTGTATATATAATATTAATATATAATATATAATATTTAGTATATATATATATATATGTGTATGTATAAAAATTTTGATACGGCCGACTGCAACCAAAACGGGAGGTGCACAACTGCATATTATAGCAGTCTTATATACAAAATTTCAACATTCTGTTTCTACTCATTTTTAAGTTATACAAGATACATCTGTATGTACATACCAGATGCCATGAAAAAATCTCTTCTGAATCCATTTTAAAATTTTTAATAATAATTTCCCCAAATAATTCATTTGGGAAAAAATAGCCCTTTATTTCTGTCCCTATGTACAGATGTCACACAAAAACATCATTAAATGGCATTCGATAGCAGCCAAAATGTATATTTTCTTTGAAATATTGTACCTGGAATTTTTCACGATTACAGTACTACCTTTAGTTTGTACAAGGAAGTAAAAAAAAAGCTGATGTAAGGTTTTAGAAAAGTATAACAGAACATTTACTTATATATTTAAGTGAGAATAGGGTAGAAAAATAATAACATATCAACTGTAATTTCTTGCTCACATTGCAGTTACTGAACTACCATTCAGCCTATAAAAATGTCGGCTGCTTTATATGGTGTATATAAACATGTATATATTCAGTATTTGCTGAATGGTGACCATCTGCCTAATGCATTGTTGGTCTAACTTTGTCTTGGAGATCAGGTGCTGATATTCATCTGAGAGGATGTGTCCTTATATACCTTGATAGCTGCCCACATGAGCTGTTTTTGGATGCTGATGCAGGATTTGTTGCTTGCTTGTTTTATACCTCTTCGTAGATACCCTCTGAGATTGCAGTTGGAGGAGTTAAAGGTGTGTATCTGTTTACTTGTTTCTGTGGAATGTTCCCCCAACCATTAAGTACATTTCTTCCCTGATGAAACTGTTCATTATTGTCCTAGAATGTCAGAGCAATTTATGGAGTGTAAGGGATCCCTAACAGTGCTACACATAATGTCATAGGGCATTTTATGAGAGATTTTGGTACTGGACTGATACTGTATAGAACAGACAGTATAATATCAACAAGGCTGGGGAACCAGTTTGGACTTTCTGCTGATGTAGATCCTATGTTTCTAAAAAATAATAGTTTAATCAAAATTTTTCTCTTTATTATGTCTTGTTTCTAATTGTAATCATTGCCTGCCACTGGGCAATGCTCATTGTGTACTGGTGTCATTCCTGTGCCATGTCATTGCTTTGCCATTGTCGATTATATGCCTGTGACAGATCTGTGAAGATGATAAATATGATTAATCCTCTTGCTCATTATTACATCAGTATAAAAATTTTTGTCTTGTTGCATCAATCATATGCCAGTAACTAGTTTTGGTCTTCTGTGCTGTCTTGGTCCTATGTTATATTGATTCTATGCAGTGTTGGTTCTGAGCAGTGTTAGTGTTTTGAATATAATATGTTATGAACAGTTGCAATCCTAACCCATGCAGATCAGCTTGTGCAGCTTTTAGTATGCATGAATGATCCATAACTCTGCATTGCTGGTGGCAGCCACTTAGCTGCCCATTAGTGCAATGTGGCAAAAGATTCAGTTTATGAGCTCAGCAAATCTTTTGCAGTCCTCAGCCGTCCAGTCAGCATGCTTATGGGTTCAGGCAAGATAAAATTGCTCATAGCATTTTATTAAGACATTGTGTGAAGAAGGGCATTTTATAAAGAAATAGATGTCCATAAGTATGCACTATGTAATCATATGTAATATGGGTACTGTGTATCCATTGTATGCAGTGTGCAACTTCCTGGTGCTGGTTTTAGATTCAGCTTTTACTAATCTTTAACTGCAGCATAACTTTCCGTATATCCTTACATAATGGCCATACTTTTAATAACAGTTTCTATTTAGCATTTAATAATAATAAATTTCTTCGTTCGTAAAACACTTAAAGTTGTATTTTTTTTTAGGTTAGGGGGATAAGAATAAATGAAAGCATTGAAGAAGATTTTTTCATGAGGATTGAGAAATATTTCAGTGCTTAATTTACATGAATGTTGAATATATGAATGAAAATTTTGCATATTTTTTTTCCTCTTCTAGATTTAAAGAAGATCCAGATATCATTAAAACAATATTTGACTTGAAAGATTCTTCTGTAGATGCATCCAGTTTTCGAGGTTTGTTGAGTTTGCTTCTGAAGACTATTCAATTTTTACATAAAATTAATTTAATAAACAATACAAGCAATTGTGCTTTAGGTTTTTAATTAAAATTTAAATATTACTAATTTTTATTTGATGATAGTAGAACTGAATGAACTGAATTAATAGTGAACAATTAGTGATCACCAGTGTATTTTTTAAAATTTCAGCTTTATTTCTATTAATATGCTCAGCACATTTGATTTAAATGAATAGTCATTATTTTTGACGAGTGAATGTTATTCAGTTATTTTAATTGTGTAATTATAGCCATATTTTATATTTTGTATATGATTGAAATATATTTTAATCTTCAGTAATCAGTTCATTTATGTGATTTTGTGAATCATTTTCTAGCAGACTATGAGAAATTCTGGTGCTGACATATTATCACTTTGTTGAAAATGATGGTATGACAGGCAAGCATTTTTGTGCTAATCATCATGAAGTGAAATATTTATAATCTGACAAAGTAAAGGAACTTAATATATGTGAACTTTAAAATGAACTGGTCTGCATGGGAGTAAATGCAGTTAATTGTAGAAAAAAGGGAATTGAAACATTAATTAATGACTGCTGGGACAAACTGTGTTAGAAGATGAAGAATTGAAGGAATTTGGAGACAGAATTTTTTTGAGCACTTGATAAGTGAGGAAATGAGGTTTTCAAGTAGTCCATTGCAAAACTAATTGTATTTTTGTATCTTTCTTTATAAACTCCCCTCACCCTTTTTTGGAACTCAATAATTAGAATTCCTGAAAATAAAAGTTAAATAAGAAAATATTATCCAGATTTTAAGATTAATTCAAAATGATCATTTGGCAGCATTCTGTTGCCATGGCAATGCCATCGTGAAGTCAAGATTTAAATTAATGATTATATCTTTATCTTAAAAATTAGACTTAAATATAAATCAGGGCCCTATTTCTGCTTGTTTATAATTAGGGTATTTTATTCATAGATATAAGAGTGTGCACTTTTTTAATGTACTGAATTTCCAAAACAATTGACGCATGCTTTGATTTAATGCATCTACCATCTCTCCATCTTATATCATTTGTAAATACATTTTGGCTTTTGTATTTCTAATTGCATATTTTACAGAAATCAAATATTAAATCAAAATTAGAAATCAAATACCATGAACTTTTCTTGCTGACAATAGAATATATATCTGCTGCTCGGGAGCCAAAATCTAGGTTTCTTCACGAAAAATTTTCATTGACAAGATAATTTATATGTGCCAGTGCACCTTGATGCTTGCTTTAATATTTATTGCAATTTTTCTTTGGATAATGTTTAAAATTAATGGATTAAATTCAAATTCAGTACTATCCTAATGTGTTTTTTAATTAGTGTGAACACTATAAAACTACAAAACTCTTAGAATAATTTTAAGAATGTGAATAGAAACTCATTATAGCGTTAAAACTATAAGAAAAAGGATCAGGCATTATATATTTTAGAAAAATTGGTATATTGTGTTTTCTTTAATTATTTATTTAGGAAAATATAACAAGATGAAGTTTAAGATTAGTGTACTTTTATTTTTTGGTGGTTCAGAGAAATTTTGTATTGAGTCATATTTTAAGAGCTAGACCATTTAAGCATTTTTAGTCCAAAGGGATTTGAATTCCGAAGAACTATTAGTTTCGTTTTGGCATTTTGCGTCGGACGGATAAATGTCGGTTCAATTTTCAAACTGTTGCCATAAAATGTTAGAGTCCTGCATTATATTTGAAGAAATTAAATAATGAAAATCTGCGTAAATGTATGTATATTTCTCACATTGTCATAAAATAACGGTACATAGAGTCATCGAATTTTGAATAACGTAATCCTCCAACGAATATGAGCATGTGGAAGACCAAATTTGAAATTTGAAATTTGTCTTATGATCGATTTCCTATTTTTTAAAACTTTGACGAATTTTTAATTAACAAACTCAAGGATTTCAAAGCGAGCAATGGCAACGTTGTGCAGAAAAAACATTTTTATCTCCAGCCCGTGAGTCTCTGTATCGGAAATTCTAAAGATATGCTCGTTTTAAAACTATTTTGCGATATTGCTGTTGCACTGGATCTTATGGTTTAAGTGCGAGGAACATGATATTTAATAAAGAAAGGTAACACACAAAATGTTAAAAAATGCCCCTTTGGACGTAATTTAAAATCTGAAACATTTCAGATTTTTTTTTTTTTTTTTTTTTTTTTTTTATTGTTTGGAAACTGTTACTACTTTTTCTGTAAAAACACTGGTCTGTGTGAATGTTAATTGAAAAAAGTTTTTCGTTGTTGTGTTGAGGCAGCTGATATATCTGCATGTATTTTAAATAAAGCTTATTAAAGTTGTGGAATATTTACACAGGCATTTTACCTTGAAGGAGAGAAAATAAAAATTAATATTTTTTTACACATTTTACTTATTTCCTTAAAGGTAAAAAAGCTGCTGATGCACAGAGAAAGATTTATTCTGTGTTAGTATTGATGTGTTAGTACAGACCTTATATTCTTGAATTATTAGCAAAATTTTATTCTGATTATTTTTCCATTCAAGAGTGCACAACATCCTGGTAAAAGCACCAATTAAAGTTTATAATGTAATTGGGGAAGCTTGCTGAGAATTTAAATTTTTTGAAAACAGCCATTAACAACCATTTGAAAAATCTTCATTGAAAAATCTTCATTGGGAGAAAAATGCTTAGGGAAAATGTGTGTTATGAGAAAACCATATAAACTTCTGCTTGAAACCACTTAAAATTATATTAATTTAACACATTGTGTTCATAAATGTGATTTGCACGACCAAAATGATCCACATTTGGAAAAGTTGGAAAGAAATGCTTATAGTAACACTGAACACAAAATATCATAATGCAAGCTTGGTAAATCATTTTAAAGATTATCAAAAGGATATTCATGAGAAAATATGGTAGTATTAGTTTAGTGGGATTATAAGGGAACTTTGACTGTACACATCATTTCTGATGTGTACAGTCAACAACTAAAAAAACTGAAAGATGCTTTGCAAATGTCCAGGATTGATGAGTTGTGAAAGTGTTTCATCCTACCTGTACCAACTCAAAAGAAACTGAGAGACTAGGATGTTTCCCAATCTATTGTCCAACTTTGACAAAGCACTATCAGATTGTCATTTGTTTTGTGCTTCAAAAATTCCTATCATGTAAAACATTTATTTCTAGTATTTCAAAATCCTTACCTTTTTTTTTTTTTTTCAAAAAAATATAAGAAATTCTTTGAAAGTAGAATCATGAAATTATCAGGAAAATGGCCAATGGTTTTTAAACAAATGATCAATATATTGATCATTATTTCTTTATATAATTATTTTTTAAAAATATTTTAATGAAAAAAATTAATAGTAGTTCTTAGACAAACCCAAAACTGAGCCTTTTCTGTTTTCATGAGAAATTTTCATCAAAGGGTAATACTTATTTGTGTTCTATTATAGATTTATTAGGTATGTTTAAATATGAATTTTTACATATTTATTTATTTTAATTTTTTAGAAATACTATTTGGGGTTCCTTTTAAAGAGACTGGCATTAAGAAATTATTTGTTCGCAACAGACCAAGAATAATTACGTATGCATTTACTGTTGTATTTCAGACATATAATGCTAAGTAAGTTGTATATTCATTTAAATTTCTTTTTCCTGTTATGTAAATTTAGAAAAGGACTTTTCTAGCCTTTGAATGAAATTAATATTTGTAAATTACTTTCATGTGATATGTTACTTCTTTGCTGTTTATAGACTAAAAGTATCATCATTTAGCCTTAGTAAATGAAAAATAATAAAGTAATAACTATGAAAAAATTTTAAAAATGCCAGTGTGACTACTTGTAACCCTTAAGGTATGTTAAAGGCTGTAAATGTTTCATGTAAGCAAAAACCTGGAGTGAAAGCTGTAATGTTTTTGGGTAACCATGTATTAACAGCTCCTGGAAATTTTAGTTGGAGCCAGATTGTGGTAATTTGTCATCAATGAATTTCTATCTTCCAACTCAAATAATTCTGTCAGCTTTGGTGTATTTATTTGTTGACTACAAGAGCAGCATCTTGTGAATAAATGTCTTTCTGCTTTTGCAATCAAGCTCTCAACCTTCAGCTATTCTTTTTTTCCAGATGGAACATTATCAAGCAGTCAAGAATATTCTGATTTGCACTTAATTAAATCATGCATCATCAAAGAAAACCTGCAGTTGAAGTGCAACATTGGAAAGTGCAATTTGACAGTAGGAATGAGAACAAGAAATAGTTTTGTAGGAATACAACAACACAAATTATTTACTGTTAGTCCAAGTTTAACATTCATCAATCAAATGTTGCTAAGAAAACAATATGGTAGATAATATTGTCATAGATTAAACTGATTATCATTAAGAAATATATAATGTTAAAACAGTAAATAGGCAACTGAACTCGGATCTCTGCCAAAGTTGCCATAGTACAAAGTGACCAGATTTCCCAAAGCTGGATTTTTTTCATAGTATCAGTAATGAATTTAATGATAAAAGTAAAGGAAATGCTTTATCACATGAATAAGTATGGCATAAAATTTCGCCTGCAGTTATGGATTGTGATGTTATTTCTTGATATATTGCATTGAACCCTTTGACTACAAATTTAAAAAAAATTCTTTTACCCCGCTTTCTTTCCAAGTAAACAAAATATGTCATAAATAAGGTAAATTTAGCATTTGGGAATTTTTTTGACAAACTGTTTTCAAGCCAAAGGCTGGGACATATATATGTCCCACACATAGCGATCGACTTACTATAAGCACACCTATTATTATGAACAACTTTATTATATAAAATCGATTTACATCATATGGTACAGGGTAAAAAGCATTCTTTGCATAACCCAACATTACACATTGGGCAACTCGCATTTGTTTTTTTCTCTATGTTTATTTATGTACAACGAGCACAGTGGCATCTTGATTTTCCAACTATTGAAAGATGATTCTCAACATTCAGGAGATTCTAGATACTTTTTAACCCAGCAGTAATGTTTAAACTTTTAATGGGCCATGTATATATTAAATATCTAAACCAATAAAAATGTTAGAAATCAGTGTTTCTTTTTAATATCTTATGCATGGAAAAATTAAAGTTTATGCCTGAAATCCCAAATGATTGTGTTTTAAACACATTTAATAGCCTTCTGTATTTGTGTACTTTTGCCCTAATAATAAATAAAAGTTAAAAGTAATAGTATTTTTCATTTTGAAGATTACTTGCTCTGTTTAAAAAATTAAGAATTGGTACTCTTATTATGGTTTCATGAATATTAAACTTCTCATAAGGGATTTAAAGAATCGTATCTGGTAGAAATTCAGAATATTTTGTTATGCCGTCTGCTAATAAATATTGGCACATAAGCTCACTGTCATGAAGTAAAGAATACCACGAAAGGTTTTAAAGCTGTTTTGATAAGAATTCAAGTAATGAAAGTTTAAAAATTCTCTAGCCATTCATAACTCTTTTATAAGCCAGTGATGCAAAATGAATTTTTTTTTTTTTCTGTCAGCCATTTCATGTAAATTTGTTTATTTTAAAAATTGTTAAATTAACTACATTACTACATTATTTTTGACATCTTTTATTAATATGCATTTTTATTGAAAATTTTTAGAGTTTCATATTGAATAAAAAAGTTTTACTTGAATATTCATTTTTATAATACATATTTAACATTAAGACTTGATTAATTCTGTATATTTTCTCTCTTTAGGTTCATACAGAGTCTTTCAGAGCACTTGCAACAAAAGTATCCAACCAGTCCATACCATGAGAATGTGACATACAGTCCTGCAAACAGTAATATTGTACATATACAATTTCAAGACCTTCATACATTGTTGGAGTTTGTACCATTGGGTGCTGCGTATATAATACTTTTCTTGTACATTTATTTTTCTGTCTGTAAGTCCTTTTCTTTTCTCTTTTGTCTTAGGTATGTATGTATTTGTTAGCATAGGTATTTATGGACAGTTACAAAACTTGCTTGTTTGTTTTAGGTAAGATTGAACTCGTTAAGTCCAAGTGGGCATTAGCTATAAGTGCAGTTATGACAGTTGTCATGTCACTTCTTATGTCAGTTGGATTATGTCTGTGGTTTGGCTTAAATCCAACCTTGAGTGGAAGGTAAAATGATACTTTAGTTTCATTTTATGCATTTTGTTCTTTCCTTTGTATTTGCATTATTCAATGAAGAATACTTAAGCATTATTTTAATTTTAATTAATAATTTCTTATTTCAGTGAAGTTTTGCCATATCTTATTGTTGTCATTGGTTTAGAAAATATGCTAGTCTTAACAAAATCTGTTGTTTCTACTCCTATGCATTTGGATGTCAAACTTCGAGTTGCTCAAGGTATGATAATTTTTTAAAAATGAATGAATTTTGATGTGACTAGTTTTCAACCTCCCCTTTTTTCCTCTTTTATAATAAATATTTTTTAGATAATTGACTGTTATGGTATGTATTGTTTTAAAAATTTATATGCTGCAATGTATATTTATCTAATAAAAATTTAGATTGTTAGATTTTTACTGATTTATGAATATAAATATTGAGATAGTCCTTTGTCATACCTTATTTGATGGAGTTGTTTAAATATATGTTTATATAAACAATTTTTCGGTACTTAAAAAATACCTGATATACTTTGGTGCAGTACAGGGGGAAAAAGTTACTATTGCAAAAGTATTTGTCTCAAAAACTCAATCAGTGAAACTATGTGTAAGTTTTTGTTTTGTTTGTTCTGGTGAAAATTTCATGACTATCGCTTTAAGAATGGATTTATACAGAAATTTATACAGAAATAGCAATGTTGCTTGTTAAAAATTGAAGAATTGGGTACTTGTGTGTTATCCTGCCATCCATGAAATTGTCACTAAGCAGTGCAATTTAACACCGCTGTGGATAAACATGATGTTGCTACACACTTCATAACATCTATGCTTTGGTTTGATTTAATCCCAATTGATTCTGTCCCCTTTATTTTTTTCTAATCAAAGATATCAATTAGCTGTTATCATTTTATTTGTTTATTTATTTATTTATTTATTTTATTTTTTTTTCAATGTGAAAAAAAAGGGCCTTGGGGTCTGTAGAATCAGGTTTGTGATTGCACTTTGTTTCATTTAGAGCTGGTTGAGAGAGTTAACATCTGTCAAAAGATGAAAGAGGAAATACTGTCTGGATATGGCTGCTAAAACAGTAGTAGATTTTGAACAAATATCTGTGCACTCATAACTTTCTAAACAGAGCTTTGGGTAAGATTGAAGGACCTAACAAAATAGCAGAAATCCACAAAAAAAACAGAACAGTAGAAATCTATTAAATTTTTTTTAGGAAGCAACAAAAATACTTCTGCAGCAGTGACTATTTGGTTGAATTGTGTGAAGAGACTGATGAATGTTTTATTGTAAGAGTTGTAGATAGAAGTATTGCTTGGGATTCCACAGGAATGATTGGTGCAATTTTGGCGAGATCTCTAGGTAACCCTGCCGTGCTGTGTTCAAACTGAAGAATTTTGGCAACCTGTCCTTGCATATGCATTCTGTTAAGTAAATTCATGCCATTTTGTTATTCATTTAAGATTTTATTTCATATCAAAGTTACAATTTTTAAAATAAGGTAGGTCTTCCAGTTTAACTATCCATAAATTTTTAGAATATATATGAATAAACATTTGAATTTTTTATGTACAGTTCTGCTAGTTTTTCTTTCACTTGGTATATTTTTGTAATTTATGTGTTTTAATTTTTATTTTTCTTATTGTTTCAAAACCTGTCTTAGAATTTTTAATTTATTTATTGAGCACAAATATTTCCTATTCAAAACATTTTGAACACATAATTATTCTTATTTATGTAGTTCAATGTATACAAGGTTGCCAGGCTACCTGAAAAACCGGAAATGGTCAGGGAATTCGAAAATTTACCAAAAAATTCAGGGAATTTAAATATTTTAGTCAAAATCTTGAAAGTCGGGGAATTTCATACAGCGATCCGCCCAAAAAAGCTAGTTTTGCGCCGACGTTGGAAGCAATCACTTTCTTGGTGAATTAATGTGTTGGGTGAGCGTCATTTGGGCAGCTGTCATAGAACCAGTTTTTGCAGTTCCAATTAGATTGTCATATAGAAAGGTAAAGCAAGTTTCCAGTAACCTTGAGAATCGCATGTGCTGTGTATGTTGAACTAAACAAAATACTTATTCTTGTATAAAACAAAATTGGTTTAATCCTATTATACGGTACCATGGAAGTTTGAATAAAAGAATATGTATTGTTAAGAAGGAAAACTTCTCTGCAACAGTAGTGGCTCTGTTCCAACTTAGAGGGAAACAACTGCACATGTGCGAAATATCTGTCGCGAAAGCTCGAAGCCAGTGTTGAAGTTCCAAGGTCATGTTATCAAGAGTTCATAAAATGAATATCCTTTAAAATTTCTTTAAACTTTAAAAGGAAAAGAAATATTTTTTTTTTGTGCAAGTAAATTAATTAATGGATTAGGTTTTTTGACGGGGGGGGAGGTTAACTATGAAAATCTGTCTTTAAATTATTGCGAAAAATCTATGGAATGTTTTGTCAAAGAATGCTTCTTCTTAACACATGTTCCTCAATTTCCTGTACACATTGCCTGTACACATCAGACTGCCAGGTTCCATCGGCAAATCCCTTGGTGAATTTTCCCTCCGCTTTCTAGCGGCGTAGTAGCATTACGTCTGTGGAACTTTTTTTTCTTATATAGATGTTCTTTGGTTAGAACACGGAGAACTTTGGTTAGAACACGTATCATTATACTCTGTGGGTTAGAATGACCTCCGTATTCTATTCTAACCTCCATGTACGGTACACACGGGAGTAGGCGATATTATGATGAGCAGTAAACTGGTCATTTTGGTGTTGCCGACAATTTTCAAAATCATGTCAAGACCTTACCGCACACTAGGATTTTACCACAAAATCTTTTAAGCCTTTTTTTTTTTTTTTCTTTTTAAATAAATGCCTTATTCGTCATTTTGCAGTAAAATAAGAAAATAGTAATCAGTCATATAGGCTAACCATTAAATGTAACTAACTATATTCGCTAAAATATTGTTGATTATTCTAATTCAATTTTTAAGTAATTATCTTTATGTTTTTGTTATTTGTATCATTTAATGTTGTTTCTTCCCCGTAAATTTATTTATTATTAGTAAATAATATTTTCAAATTTTACGAAAATTTTCTGTGATATAATCCTGAAATTAATTCTAGCAGTATGATGACATAGAATCATGAATTTTAATGCACGTATTTTTTGCTTATGTGTGCTGCTGAATAAATATAAAATACATGAATTTATTTGAAAATATCATTAAATATATTTCTTTCTTTCGTTTAGCTGCAAAATGTCTGCAAAAAAAGACATTTTTAATTCAGATTAGGCAGATTCTAATCTCCATCTTCAGTGGAGAAAACAATTCCTATTATAGTTAAAATAGTAATGCTTTGAGGAATTATATATATGTACAGTCATGTGTAACTGGCAAATTTTTGTGTTGGAATTTTCTTAAAACACATCTGAAAAACCTGGAAAAGTCAGGGAATTTCATTCTCCTGTTTGAGTGGCAACCCTGTATATATTGCTGAGTGATACAGTACAAAGTCCCAGATTCGGACTCGTCGGGACTTCTGCGATTAAAATATGAAATTGTGATTTATGAAATAATGAAGCATTTATGATTGAAAGGGTATCAAAATTTACCACAGAAAGAGGCTTAATATTAATTTTTTTACTTTATTAAACATTTCTTTGAAGTTTTTTAAGTTGTTTCATTTTTTGTAGTAATACTTTCTCTTTAATTCTATAGATAGACATAATTTCTTATTCAGTTGCAAAGTTCCATTGTTAAAGTCCTGTAATTGCTGTGTCTAGAATTCCGACTAAAAAAAAAAAAAAAAAAAAACAAAAAAAAAAAAAAAAAAAAAAAAAAAAAAAAAAAAAAAAAAAAAAAAAAAAAAAAAAAAAAAAAAAAAAAAAAAAAAAAAAATTGTCAATCGAAATTCTTTTGTCTCGCTGTCACTCTGTCTGGAATGGTATTTTCTGGATCTAGAATCATACTACTGATTTCGCCATTCGGTAATTGAGTGATGATTGTGGAGCATTGTCATTACAGTGAAAAACTCTTTTATATCCTCTTCGTTTATTACCGCTTCTTCACATTTCTTTACAAAATCTCCTAATTGGAAAATTTTACCTTTGGTTTGCGATATTCAGATTCGTGGCTGTCATCATAAAATTTAGCTATCATTCATCATACATACGAAATTGGCGACTAAAGACAAGTTGTTCCACTAAATTTTATCTTTCTTCTATCGTGCACGGAGTCAGTTAAGCGGGAATTGTATTAGTTATTTATTATACTTACACCTATTACTTGCACATGTTTAACGCATATCTGATTCCTCAATAAATAAACTCCCACAAATATTTAAGGATTATTTAGGGGTGGTGCCTGATGCAATCTTTGTGGCTCCTAATTCTCCTACCAAGCACCTCCCCTTGTCTTTCCTAAGTTCTGCTGTCCAGTGTGGCCATATGAACTCTGGCAGTGGTTCTGGGTTTATGTGAATAACAAATCAGTTATTCTTAATTCAAATAGCACTAAATGTAATCTTTTGGCCTATGAGTATGATTAACAAAACCTTACTTTTAGCATATGAAAGAACTTTCTGTTAAATTTTTCCTGTCAACATTTCTTAGTGCATTTAACTGAAATCTGTAATCAATGGCAAGCGTAATGTCAACATAAAAGGTTACCATTTTTTTTCTTAACTACTAATATTAAAAAAAAAAAAAAAAAAAAAAAAAAAAAATGCTTAGGTATTGCTCCACGAGTCATTACTCAAGCTGTCATGTGTTGATAAACATGCAGTGATGAAAGCAAAATATAATAAATAATGATTCAGCAAGTTGGTGTCAGGTGTATAAAGTATTAGTAGGTGTAAAATTAACGATGTATCTGTAGGATGTTTCGGTTTGAGATGTATGACCAGCAAATTACTGATCATATAGATTTATGCTAAAACGATTGTTTCTTCAATAATGAGGTATTTTATTTGCCGAAGTGAAATTAAAAATCGGGATTCTCGACGTATTTTATTATGCGTGGGGGGATTAAATGTTAATGCATACAGCATACAAAAAACATATACAGGCATGAAAGTTTTCCGCTTTGTTGCGGAATTCCGCTTTTTTGAACGTCACCCGGGCTGTTTCTGAGATCGATGCAGAACTGTTGAGAAATTGCAACCGGGAAATTTGTGTGTGTGTGGGGGGGGGGGGGTAAATGGAGGACATGCTCTCTCTCTTCCTCTTTTC